CACTTGTGGCATTCATCGGTTACCCAGGTGTTCATCTTGGCCCAGTGTACATGAATATGTACACAGTACCTTCAATAATTCTCATGATCGCGTTCATGACGTCATTCGCTTTGATTCTAACGTCTTTTTACGAATATGTGGAATACAAAGAACTGGAGGAACACAGTAATGCAGCAGAGAAAACGAAGATGCAGTGTCGTGTATCGGCATTTGTTGTTGCAGGGAGTCGCTTCGATGTGGTTCCGAAATTCAATGTATATGCAACCATGATTCTGTGCTTTTGCTGGTTTAGCACTTTCTTCACCGTAACGAACATGGAAACGTAAGAAATAATTATCGTGTACACATTTTATTCACTTGCGGATGTGCAGTTATTCACTTAAGGCTGTTAACGTTAGCTAAGCGTTGTAAAATCCCCTAATTTACTTATGACGTCTTACCATGCTATGGCTTTGCTCACTGTCATGTCAAACCAAGCGATTCTTCGTTCCTGTAGATCTCTCTAGGTATAGATTGTAATGTAACTGTCGGATAGTTGAAAACTTCCTCCTATAAACGGGGTTTTGAAAAGTGATGGTAAAGAAATTGCTTAACACTAGAAATGATGTTTTATGTAATTGACTAGTTAGTGTTGTTTTAGACTGAGCAGCCCATACGCAATGATAATATTCAACTGGACCAGAAAACAAACAACCGTTTATACTAGTCTACTGATGGGCATCTCAGCGATGTTCTCTATTCTGATGTACAGTTTCTACATATGGAAAGGAAACAAGTTCAGTTCGCTTATTTTTTATAAACAGTTTAAATTAGTTTATTTATGCAGAATTGAAAATCGGAAGTCGATAATTTTCGGAATCTGCATGCAGCTGATATACTTTTTGCTCACTTATCCTTATCCTACGTGGAAATCAAGGATTCACTATTTCAAGAAGGCAGGTATTATTGATTAAAGTATTGTACTTCAAGGGTTCCTGTCAGATATAACGAGGAATGAAATGAAAGTGGCAAGATACAGTAGTACCTCTTGTACAGGCTGACATGACCATATTGTCCCTCGTACGTACGTAGCGTAGTTCTGACAAGACGTTTTTTTAGTGAACGATACGGAACCTTTTAACAGCACGTCAGCGACTGTCTCCTTACCTGCTAATGAAACGATGGTTGCTGGATGTGAATCTGGATTTCAGTGGTGTTTGTACACTGCCGCCATACCGTTGGCCATTTACCTGGCAGCCTCGCCGGTTATTTTCATCGGTATGCCAGCCGTGAACGTTGCGCTTTCTACGCTGTATTCAAACGTGTTAGGACCCCGTCCTCAGGTGATAAACATGTAGTTGTAATAAATCACCGAATTAATGTAACAGTTGCAGGCATTCATGCAGAGTGTTCTGATGATGTGTGGAAGCACAGCCAGACTGATAGGCCCAATTATCACTATGTAAGTGATTGTAAGTGTGATGTCTAACAGCATAATTAACAGCAGTGTATTAACAAGGTATGTATTTACTAACTTTGGTCCAACGGTCGTATGGATCATAAACATGGTCATTTTGGCTTCAAGTGTAGCGGTTGTGTTGATGAAACATCGAATATTAGTGCCGTTAAATTTGAAGCCAGTTCTTCGTCCGGGTCAGTCGTTTGCTTTCAACGGTGGGATGGTTTATCGATTTTAAATGCATGTATTGTTTGTGCCTTGTGTCATTAATTAACTAATCGTCTATAAAAATGATATTAACAATACCTAATGAACAGTATTCCTTTCCTTCATGTTTGAACGACACGATTCATCATGGTGACACTTCAGGGCCAAAAATGTCGTGTTCCGATTCATAAGAATTCAGGGCGTCGAAAGTTAATCGTTTCCACTCTTCCACTGTGAAATCTTCTTCGTCTTCGTAGTCATGAGGTAGTTGTGGTGCGGCCTAAAGAATACGAACAGTTACAAGCGTTACATATCTAGGATTCAACAGCATGCAATTTAATTACTGATACTCTAGTCAACAATTTACCACATTTGCCTCCTGTTCGTTGTACCACTGATTGACATATGGGTGCTGCAGTGCCTCTTGAATGGAAATTCTTTCACGCGGATCGATCACCAACATTTTACTTAACAAATCTCTAGCGCAGGAAGCTACAACAGAAGGTGTCATTTCAAA